GACATCATTTTTATATTTTAAAAACAATTTCTTAAAATCCGAAGCCAACCCATTATATTCCTCTAATAACTCATCATAAGATAAATCATCTAATTCAGATGAGTTATAAGTTACCTTAGAATCTTCCCTGAATGCCATCAAGCACAAGTTTGCTACTTCTTGTTCCTCTTCATCGGAACCCTCTTTATCGCTACATATAGCCACATGAGTCTTGTGCTTATTCTTTGATTGACCATTTCTTTTCAATTGTGGGCAATCATATTTGACATGGCCCGGTTTTTTGCATTCATAGCAAATGATAGGGTCCTTCTCTTTTGGTTTATTTTTAAGGCCTTCATTTCGTTTGAATTTTCTTCCTCGGTAAGGTCTCATCATTTTTCTGAACCGTTTGGCAAACAATGCCATTTCCTCATCATCGTCATCTTCATCTGAATCACTCTCATCTTTTGTGGATTTGAGAGCAACTCTAATGTTTTTTTTCTTCTTCTTCTCCTTTGGTGTCTCATCAATCTTATCGAGGTCTACCTCATCTTCAAGCATCATTTCATGAGTGAGGAGGGAACCAATTAGCTCTTCAAGAGTTAAGAATTTTAGGTTCTTAGCCTCGATGATTGTCGTCTTCTTGGATTGTCACGATTTTGAAAGTGAGTAAACCAACTTTCTCACAAACTTTTCGTTTGGAATGATCTCTCCATATGATTTGAGACCATTGACAATTGTTGAGAATCTATCCGTCATAGCTTTGATATCTTCATTTGGTTTCATCCTGAAATTTTCATAGCTATGTGTTAGAAGACTAATTTTAGATTTTTTTACCTCGTTGATGCCTTCATGAGTGACTTGTAGTTTATCCCATATTTCTTTAGCGGTTGTACAAGATGAAACTCTTTCATATTCATCTAGTCCAAGAGCACAAAATATGATATGGATTGCTTTGGAGTTGAGCTGGAACATTCTTGTCTCTCCTTCTCTCCACAATCTTGGATGAGTGAAAGGCTTGATATATCCGTCTTCTACAACATTCCATGCTCCCATGTCACTTACTTGAATGAAATACATCATTCTATTCTTCCAATAGGCATAGTTAGCTCTATTGAAGAAATGAGGCTTGTTGACGGGCATCGAATCGAGACCGGAATCGAATCGAGACCGGAGTCGACATTTGATGCAGAGGCCATTGATGACTTGATAATCGATGTAACTCTTCCCGAATTGACTCAAGAGGCGATTAAACCTTCAAATGAGTGAGGCTCTGACACCAATTATTGAGTTAATCGATCGACGAAATCAGCCAAGAGGGGGTGAATTGGCAATTAAAATTTTGGTGGAAGCTTTTGCAGAAAATTGAAAGTAATTGCACAGCGATTTAGAGTGGTTCGACTTTCTCAATCAAAGTCTACGTCCACCACCTTAGCTATCCACACTAAGGATTTTCCAACAAATTCACTAATTTGTTCTTTCTTTTGAGGCCAAAGAGATAACCTTACAACTCCTTCAAGAATATACCCCAATTCTTGAGAACACTCTTTCTCAAAGAGAATATTACAAATTTGCAAACTTACAAGGAAATCCTCACAAGGTAGATTGTTTGCACCATTCTAAAACAAAGAAAAGAACATTAAAAAATGAATACAATTGAGTACAAGTAGTGTTCTTGAAAGCAAAATGAATATTGAATGAAAAATAGGCTTGAAATGTTCAAACTTGAGGTTTGATGCTTTCTCTTTGATTCGCTCTTGATTCTTGTTGATTGTTATTTCTTGTTGTTGATCAATGGCTTCTAAGCTTGGTTAAATACACCTTCAAATGATTCTGAACGTTGGGGATGCTTAGTGGAGTCAATAGAGTCGTTCAAGTGTGAAAACAATTAATAAATTCAATTAGGAGCGTCAGTGTATCGATGTATACCCATGGTGCATCGGTGCATCAGTGTAAAATTCAAATATTTTGACCGTTGGACCCTTAGTGCATCGGTGCACTAAGAGTGCATCGATGCATCAAGTGCATTCGATGTTTCAAAATAGCCAGAGTGCATCGATGCATGGCTGGTGCATGGATGCATCAATTGCATTCGATGTTTTCATAAAATCCTCAGTGCATCGATGCATGGTATGTACATCGATGCATGGTATGTGCATCGATGCATGAAATGCATTCGATGTTCAATTTAATTCATGGTGCATCGATGCATGGATTGGTGCATTGGTGCATCACTTTGATAAATTGATTTTAGGCTTGATTTTGGATCAAAATACTTTATGAAAATTGTTTCAAAAATAGTTTAAGTATAAAACACAATTTTACACATTTAGTAAGGTTTGAATTTGAACTTGAAAGACTTGGAGTAATAATTTGATATTCGATTAATTAAATCGAATATACTTAGAAAATCATTTGTAAAATCTTAAAATTCATTTAAACTTAATTTGTTATATCGAAACACAAAAATGTTTTCAACACTTATTTATGTTATTATGCCTCACTAAGTGAATACTTAGCGTGTGATGGTTTCACGCGTAGGTAATAGCGTACAATCATAATAAGGAGTGCAGCTGACATCGTACATTAAAGGTTGCCTCATTAATAATTGTATGACATCTTTAGATGTTTACTTTTAATATTACTAGTTGGCATGTATTAGTTATATGATGATGCTCTGATATGTATTTGACATATGGATTGTAGTAGTATATTAAGTTCAAACTTTAAGGCTATTTTACATACTAGTAGTTAATGAACGTTTATAATATTATTATATTAAATTGTTTTATTTGAAGAAACAAAATTTTACTGGTTTTCAAGTAAAAAAATGTTTTAAAAGTTATGTGACATCTATGACTCGTGTACGTGAGCGTATACGGGAAATAGGTGTTACAATAAATATGTACAAACTCGAGTGGATGAAAATAATTAGTCTATAACTATATCGATAGTATATGGAATACTCACCCCTTTTACCAAATTATGTCTTTATGACACGTTTTTCTCTACCTTTATGGTATGTTTTTCTCTACCTTTTTATACGTTTACAATCGTTTGACTATTTTTTTTCATTTATCCTTTTTATCGGGGTTTGATTCTACATCGCTCAACGGATCAAGATGGTGTTTATTTGTTATTATGATAATCTTCTCTTCTCTGAATTCTTGGATTGAATTGGATACACTATTTGTGTTAGTGTATAGATTTCTCACGTCGCACGACTCAAATGGTTCATATATTTGTTTAACTTGGTACATTCTATTTAGCATTTTATTCACTGTACATATCATCATCCATTCATTTATTTTCTCATTTTTAAAATAAGAGGCAATGTTGCTTTATATCAAGAGTTAATAGAATCATGTCCAACATGACTAGATTACGATTTCGTTAATTCTTGAAGTAAAAGGACATCCTTTCAAGTAAAATTGGGAGAATCAAATTCGTTTGAGTTAAACATTTTACAAAGAAACTCACTCTTTTCAAAATTCATTCATATAAATTAAAGGATTGTAATTTAAATTTTGGATTTGAATATATAAAGTTGCACTACTTAAACAACGTACAATCGAGATGTATCTATTTTGGACGCCGTAGGAGTGCTTATCATTTCTCACACGTAATCAACTCTCGAACCCTTAAAAATTAATTTCTGGTAAAATGCAGACCGATTTTCATCTTTTAAATGATTTTTTAATTATTTTAAAAATATATTTTTTAGGTATTCGACCTACTTAATTAAAAGGTCGACGGCGACTCCAAAATTATTTTCAAAATAAAATCCCAATCGTAAAAATAAATAATTAGAGTTTTCTTTAAAAAAAAAAAAAGGAAACCCGGTTCTTTTAAAAAAACGTTACCACAATACTGATTAAATCTTAATTTTATTTATGGGACAGACGATATGTTTTGAATTTGATGATAATATTACGAAATTGGATCCATAAAATCAGAATTTTTTGTTTGGATATAAAAATAAAACACTTGATGATATGTATTAGCTTGTCAATCTCGTGCTATATCGTCTTCGAGAATGAAATTCTAATCCTCTTATGAAACAAAATATTTAAAGTCAAATAAAGTTCATACGAATTTGACTTTCTAGATATTAAACATTATCTATTCAAATTACGTTTGCAGCAGCCTACTTGCTTTCTAGATATAGTCCAATCCTTCCCAAAGAATTTTTCTGTATTTATACTATTATGTTTTTTATTTTTCTTTTCCCACTTATGAGTTATGACTACTACTTTGTAAACCAAATATGTCTATAATTAAAGTTAATTAAAAATATATATAAACAGAATAAATCTAGATTTAGTCCAAAATAGATGTATGTTAGTAGAACCTCTCAAATAATTTATATGATTAAAGAGTATTGTTTTCTGTAAATGTCATGTGTTCAAACAACATTTGTAGGTGTGTACACATTATTTAGTAATAAAAAAATTTTGAACAAATAATCATCAAATTTTATATATCACTTTACATAGTTTAACAACACTTTTCAAACATTAGACATGACGTAATATCAAGTCATAAATGGAGGTTCATGAACTAGATTATTTAATATCTAAAATGGGTAACTAGTTGGTGATTCAAGTTTAGCCTTTTCAGTTGAGTTCTTTGACTAGTTGGTGAATTACTTAATATTTAATAGCAGATCAAATATTTAAATTCTCAAGAGATACATTAGAAGAAAAAGAATTTAATCATCTTAAATTCTTATAAAGCATTTATTTTCTCGATAAAACGGAAAATAAAAAATGTCTAATTTGATAAAATAACTATAATCAATTATATAAATATTCGAAGAAAACTGATTGCAATATTGGATATAAATCCAATTAAAAATAAATGAAGTCATGAACGGGCCCATTTACTAAGAAATAATACTGGGATGCCATTTTTGACCAAGAGATATTCAATGAAAAATAATAGAAACAGTATTGCACATAAATCCAATTAAAAATTGAAATAGATAAAGTTCCCAAGCTTGAAGATGAGCCTATAAAGAGCATCTTAAGTTGTGATATCTTCCCACAGCTCAATCGTCCATCTTGTCTCTTCTTATTAGCTCGAAAAAAGTACCCTCGAAACTCCCAATTAATTTAGAAGAATGGGTGTTGTGAATTACGAGTTTGAGACTACCTCTCCAATCTCCCCGGCCAGGCTTTTCAAAGCCGTCACTGTTGAAGCCGACAAGCTTTTCCCCAAGGCTGCCCCTCATGTAGTCAAGAGCGTTGAACTCCAGGGTAACGGTGGCGCTGGCACCCTCGTCAAGATCAACTTTGCTGAAGGTTACTTGTTTCATTCTCACTTTCTTTCTACTTTCATTTTTGGAATTATTTGTTGGAGGTGAATAAACTAAACTTTACCTGCATATATAGGCCTTCCATATCAGTACGTGAAGCACCATGTTGATGCAGTTGATGAAGCCAATTTGTCCTACAGTTACAGTGTGATCGAAGGTGGGCCTTTGGGAGCCAAGCTTGAGAAAATCTCTTTCGACAACAAGTTGGTGGCAGCTGCAGGTGAAGGGACCCTTGTGAAGAGCTCAATGAAGTTTTTTACCATCGGTGATTCCACTTTCAGTGAGGATGAAATTAAGGAACAAATTCAAAGAATGGATGGAGTTTACAAGGCTGTTGAAGCTTACCTCGTGGCTAACCCCGGTGTCTGCAACTAAGATCCATCTTAAAACCAATACTGGCTTTGCTTATTCCAATAAGAGTGACACGGTATGGTCACCGGGATTTCATCATCCTTATTTCCATTATAGTCAAGCAGTTCGAGTTGTATCGTCTTTTATCAAATAAAATAAACACATAAAATTGCAAAAAGAATTGGGTTCTACCTGCCTACAATGCTGAGATATATATTGGGGAAAAAAACAACATTGTCTTCACGAAATCTTTTGCATTAAACTAGGACTGTTTCACTCCAGATCCCTTTTGTTTCCAAGACATGAACCTAAAGTGGCGAGAGACCCAGTCCATAACATATTCATACTATATTAGCAGAAATATGTACAAGACCCAAGTGGATGAAAACAATTAGTCCATAACTATATCGGTAGTATACGGAATACTCACCCTGTGACAAGATTATGTCTATGTTTTCTTCTGTCATTTGATACGTTTTCGGTCGTTTGACTTTTTTTTCATTTATCCTTATCGGGGTTGGATTCTACATCGTAACAACTGATCAAGATAACGTTTATTTATTATTATGATGATCTTTTTGCTTTGGACCTTCGGATATGATTGGATACGTGATTTACGTTATTGTATAGTTTTCTCATGTCGCGCGACTCTTTAAATATTTAAGAATTAAGCCCTTTAGTTTTAAATTCATTAATTTAATAGGTCTATTATTATGATTTAAATTTAGGAAAGTAATCGGATGTTGTAGACATCAACCTATACTCATTTCTACACTAATTGAGAGATGAAGACTAAGGACACACATTCTATTTTCTGTGTGGAGTTTACCATCACTTCAAAGGATGTTTAACTCTAATTAGGACTCTCAATTGATGAAAGCATTATCACTAATATGAGCTTTGATAATTGGGCTGCTTTGTGCTACAATTATCTTGAAAAAGGTCCCAAATGAGTTTAATAATGGATGAATCTCATTAACGTGGCTACAACATAATTTAAAGATTTTGACAAATATTATTTTAGAAAAAAGAGGCACACATTCACACGTGCTTTTATTTTATAGATCATATCAGGGATTTTGATATCTAATAAATATCGCAACCAAGTGCATATTATGAGATTGTGTCACCTCATAGATTCCATGAAGCCAGCATGTTCAAATGAGAATTGATACTTTTAGCATTTCTCTTCATAGAAATTTGTAAAGTGACCGGCCCAAAGAAAAATGTTATCGGTGGATACCTCTTTCTTATATAGTCTTAGATGTGGTATAACATGTCTTTTTTATATCCACATATCAACTAATTTTTTGTCTTCTTTTTTCTACTAAGGTAATTTGAATTCTTAATTTACTTATAATTAAGTTTAATTTTATTATAGTTAACTAAAATATTTTTATATTAAATAGATGATTATCAGTTAAAAATCATCGTGAAATCTCTAATGAGTTTCGAGATATTAGGTTATTGATTGAGCAAAAATCAATTTCAAATGTATGTTTTTAATTATTAAATTTTTAATTTTATTATTGTTGTAATTAGAATTTTATTTATAAATTTATATATTGATAATAAAAATATTTTTTGTAATTACAATGGATGTCCTATGTTAATATAGAATTGAAGTCTTGCATCCCACCCTAGCTTAGTGCTTCATTGGAAGTATGACATGCAATTGTGCCTCCTATCTATTTCGTTATTGATGAGTGTCATCCAAGTGACCGTGCGCTTTGCCAGTTTGGTTTCATACAGTTTATTTTGGGATCAGTCATGAACCTCACATTTTACATAAGGTTGATAGATGAGGCAAGATTGATATTAATTGAGGGGAGGAAGCACGTCGAGTGAATAACGATGTGAGAAAATTGGTAAGACGGTAATCTTGATCGGCGTCCTTTTTCAACCCTTGATATAACAGTTTCATCTAATTACATGTTATGGTTCGCAAAACAAGAGAAACAATTCATATTGTCTGATGAGGCATGAAGCATGTTTATTCATTGTTGTTGGAAAAGACGTGGATCAACATAATATCATCGTCACCCAACTAATGAGAAAGAAAAAAACTTTTGGCTTGTCCTCATCAACACCACTAGAAACAACACAACATCTATCGTCGATGACACTGATGCAGTAGGTCAGTAAGCAGTGGGCAGATAAGTTGTGCAACCAAAGCAAAGGGTGGCATGGTGATCGACAATGGTGTGGTGGACTGTTTCAAACAACTTAATTGTATATTATTACTCTATTGAAGGAATTTGAGCTTGAACCATGGAACCTCGTAGCCCATCAAACTATCGAAGTACCGGATAGAGTCGATCGATAAGGTTGATTGGAGTTGAAAAACAGAAGACGTCAAATTTGGTGGTGCAATAAATCGACCGCCAACCACAGTTGTGCATACGTAAGTGTGTCATCACGTTTTCCGTCAAGTTAAGGAAAATATATTTTAAAAAGGGTAAATTAAAATTTTATCTCTAAACTGTTTTGAATTTATAAAAAGGCTCTCAATTGGTATTTTATCTAAAGTTCAAGGATTAAAATAAAAATTAAATCTTTTTTCTTATGTGTCATATTATTAAACTAACAATATTCAATGTCTCAATGACCAAAATTTAATAAAATGATAATTTAAGTGATCAAAACTTAACATTTTTAAATTTATTGACCGAAAATGTATAAATATAAAAGGTAAGTGATTTAGTTTACCCAAATTTAAAAAATAGAAAAACTATTTTAAATATTTTATGAAGTAAAAAGAAAATTAATTATTCATCTCAAACTCAAACAACTAAAAATCCTTGCTTTTCTTTAATGATTTTAATTTACTTCATCTCCTAATTCAGTAATTCACTATGAAACCCTAGACGTACTGATACCACTCACCTCTCCTACCCCACGACGGAGAGAAAAAAAATCTGAAGCGCTTTTTCCTTTTTTGGTTCAACGGTGTTGTTTTTGTTTTGAAGCTCATTTCCTTTTTTGTTTTGAAGCTCATTTCCTTACTCCTTTCCCCCCTTTTCCGTTCTGTACAATGTCGGTTTCTGGTGGTGCTTCGATCGCGAGAAGCAGACGCGGTGAGAATCGATTTTACAATCCGCCGCCGATGAGGAAACAACAACAGCAACAGATGGCGATGAAGATGCAGCAGCATGAAGAAAAGCCGTCGATTTCCAAGAGTTCGACGGAGAAGAGAACGGATCGCGAGGAATGCGCTCTGTCATATGCATCTTCATCGCCGTTGAATAATAGTAACAGTAATGATAAGGATAATAAAAGGAATGATGACAATTCCTCGAATTTGGATCGGTTCTTGGAGTTTACGACTCCTGTGGTTCCGGTTCAATATTTTCCCAAGGTAACGAAGACAACCCTACTTTTATCAATCACCGTTTGTTTCTTTTATTTTCTGCTTTTGGTTCAATATTTAATTTCTGGGTTCCTTTGATTGATTAAAACAACAGCCCACTCCCTTTTTATGTTGATATTTTCCCCTTTTTAAGGCTTATACTAAATTACTAATTAGCTGTAGTAGTGCAATTACTTAACCTTAATTTCTTATCAAGCAAAACCCAACAGAAAATTGAAGAAATTTGTATTATTATGTGAGGTAGAAAACGTTGTAAAGTTGAATATTTTTCTTGTATCAACAGAAACCCGGGCAACTAACAACTGTTGATCATTAATAAATGCAAAATAGTGAATTGTTTTTCCCCAAATGGTTAGTTAAATATGAAGTTATTGATTAATCTTGTATTGATGAAATTTTATTTTGATGATTCTATAGACAAGCAGCATTAGAGGATGGAGAGGGAAAGGGCAAGAGCTCAGACTGCAGTCTTCACCATATTTTGTGCTTGAGGATTTGTGGGAGTCTTTTAAGGAATGGAGTGCATATGGAGCTGGGGTTCCTCTTTTGTTGAATAGAAGTGACTCTGTAATGCAATACTATGTTCCTTACTTGTCTGGGATTCAGCTGTATATAGACCCATTGAGACCCTCCACGAGGCTGAGGTAAAGTCATTCATTCTTTAACTATAATTTATGTAATCATTTTAGTGCATTTCTTGACTTAGAAATTTTGTACGGCCCTCAACAGTTTTTGGATCCTTTTGTGGTTAAGTAAGGATCTGCAATTGGATTTTTAGAGTAAGGTTTATTGGTTTGTGAAGCCATTCTCGAATTTGCTTGACAGTCAATATAATCTTGGGTTGTGTTGTATTATTTCATTGTTTTGCTGATTTGCTTTAAACTCTCTGCTGTATGGTCCGTAATCTTCTTGAGATGAATAGAGGTTGAAGAGCAAAGTGATGAGCTCTCTTGAGCTGTAAATCATTAATTTTAATTCATGCTTGAAGTGCTAGATTTATTGCATTCTTGTTGTGTTACTTGATTTCAGGAGGCCCAGTGAGGAGAGTGATACCGAGTCATCGAGGGAGACAAGCAGTGACGGTAGCAACAGTGATTGTGGAATGGGAAGAAGAGCTAACAATGTTGTCCAGGTGGCTCGGAGTCAGCTGAAGGTTGCAGATTCGAATATCGAGAAATTGACAAGACTGTCACTTAGGAATAGATCCTTTGGGGATTCATCAAGTGATGAAAATGATAGTTGTAACCCTCCTGGTCAGCAGCTGATATTTGAATATTTAGAACATGATCAACCATTTAGTCGTGAGCCATTGGCTGACAAGGTTAATTCCATTGTCATTTGTTACATTATCATTTGTCACTTATTTTGCTCTCTCTAATTACCATGCTTCCTGCAGATTGCAGTTCTGGCATCTCAATTTCCGTCACTAAAGACATACAGGAGCTGTGATCTTTCACCTTCAAGTTGGATTTCTGTGGCATGGTATGTATTGTTTTCTTTATGGGAAAAGTTTTTCAGATCTTGCTTATTGCTATTGTGATTTTAAACCCGATTATATCTGACATTTTTTGTCTTAAATGAAGGTATCCTATATATAGGATACCAATGGGACCAACTCTGCAAAATCTGGATGCCTGCTTTTTAACCTATCACTCTCTGTCTACACCCCCACCAGGTAGTCATCTTATGTATGGTTGCTTATTTCTATTGTTTCCAGCAGACACTTTGTACAATGTTCTATTGATATATTTTGGAGCAGGTACCGGCATCATCATGGATGGGTTTACCTTCCGGGGCTTTAATGTC